TTTGAGACATTCTCCCTGTAACTCCAGCTGACCCGGAACTCACTACATAGACCAGGCTGGCCCTGAACTCACAGAGGCCTGCCTCTGCCTCCCGAGTACTAGGATTAAAGGCGTGGACCACCATGCCCAGTGTAGAAAGACTGATTTTTTAAAAAATGTTTCATCTGGGCTGGGGGTGTGGTTCTTTGGAAGGGTGTTTGCCTAACAAGTGTGAGGTCTTGGGTTCCATCCTCAGCACCACAGATGAAAGGCAGGTAGGAAGGGAGCTAAGAATGTAGCTCAGATGGTAGAGTACTTGCATAGCTTGTGTGAGGTCCTGGGTTGGATTCCATAACACTGCATAAACCCGACGTGGTGGCGCATGCCAGTAATCCCAGCATTTGGGAAATGGAGAACGGAAAATCAGAAGTTAAGGTATCCTCAGCTACATAGTGACTGCGGCCAGCCTGGGCTACAGAAGACACTGTCAAAAAAAAAAGGGAAGGAAGAAAAGGAAGGACCGGCTGGGCTCGGGTGAGGATGAAGTCACGCTCAAAATCCCAGTCTCTGGAGTGCTCAACACAAAAGATGGGGGAGCAAGAAGTCATGGGCTCAATTCCCCAACCTTGTTCTCACCTGAACACGGCAGCCAACTGGACTCGAGGCCCCGCTGGGGGGCGCCCGAGAGCCCACCCGTTTCCCCTTTAAGGCTGGGGCGGAAGGCCAGAGAGTGAAGTCCTTCCTGTCGGCAGTGTAAAAACAGTCCGCCCCTTTAAGGGGGCGGAGCCACTGCTGTGGCGGCGGCTTCGAACGCGGCCTGGGGCATTAGCCCCTAGGCTCCTGGAGCCCCACTCTCTGCCTCGGTTGCGGGCGTAAAGACGCTTCCCCCAGACCCTGTTTCCGGAGCACCGTCGACCACAGTCGCACCCTTACACCTGGGTCAAGTTGGAGGCGACCTTCCTCGAGTCTGAATCAACCGGGCCTGTCCTACGACCCGAGTCCACCGCCGTCGTCATGGTAACGCGACACCAGCGCCTAGGGGTCTCTGGCTGCTCAGAAGCCGCCGTCGGGATATCCCCCCCCCGCCCCCCGGCAGAAGCTGCTGGGCTGGGGTCTGGGTGGAGCTCGGTGTAGTCTGCAGACCCTGGTTCTAGTAGGGTGGGAAGCACGCACGCGCACTAGACCTTGGGAAAGGACCCCCCCCAGATAAAACACACCTCTCCCTCTTTGAAGTCATCATTCCCCTATGTCCGCAGACGTCACTGCTTTTGGGGATCATCTTTCTTCCCCACCCCCGTGACTCTTGGACTCTTCGGGAAGTTGTAATGGTCTCTGGCATCTGGGGTCAGGCACAACCCTTAGCTGTGGGTTTGATACTCATCTGGAATTGGCCGCAGCCAGCATGCTGGCCAGAAAAAAGGAACCAGGAACCCACCCTGTTGGGAACCTGTGGGAGTTGGATTTAGGTGGAAAGAAATTGGCTTGAGTCTCAGAAACAAGGCCGCAGTGCCAGGATTTATGGTAGTTTCTTTTTGTTTGACAAACCTTTGGGATGTTGTTGCAAAAGTCTCGGGCCTGAAGAGGTGTGCAGGCCTGCAATCCCAGTGCCTAGAAAATGGAGGCAGGGGGATCAAGAGTTCAAGGTCAGGACTGGAGAGATGGCTCAGCAGTTAAGAGCGCTTGTTGCTCTTGCAGAGGGCCAGGGTTCTATTCCTAGAACCCACATGGCAGTTCACAACTGTCTGTAACTCCAGTTCCAGGGGCTATGATGCCCTCTTCTGAACTCAGTGACCACTAAGCATGCACATGGTACACATGCATACATGCAGGCAAAACACTCATACACAAAAAGTAAAAAATAAATAAATCCTTTTTTTTTTTTTTTTTTTTTTGGTCTTTTTGAAACAGGGTCTCTCTGTAGCCCCAACTGTCCTGGAACTCACTATATAGACCAAGCTGGCCTTGAAGTCACAGAGATCCCCCTGCCTCTGCCTCCTGAGTGCTGGGATTAAAGGTGCGTGCTATCACGCCCGGCCCTGATTCTTTTTTTTTTTTTGAATGCCTCTATCTCACAGTGATTTGCCTGATTTTGCCTCTCAAGTGCTGGGACTAAAGGCCTGTGCCACCACACCTGGCTAACTTGGGCTACCTGAGACCCTCTTTCTCAACAACAAAACTCCTCGGGCACATGTGCACAATACTGCCCCTGAAGAAATGTCTTTCCTCCCTTGGCAATCTTATCTCTGCCCAGACGCCTAGGAGTAATGCAGATGGATGCTGGGATTTTTTTACATGAAAGTAACTCTAAGTCATTGAAGTTTTCAGCTAAATCCCGTTTCTTCTCTCTTCATCAGTATTCCTCCTCCAGCACTAGCAAGAAAACAAAACAGGAAAAAAAAAAAAAAAAAACAGTATGCCTGATAGTTTGTAAGAACTGGGGAAAAAGAGATGAGTACAGAATGTTCTTGAAAACTGTTTCTTCTCCAGCCTCAATTGCTTTGTTTTCCTTTCAGGCTTGCAGTTTACGGAAGCTATTTGCTGTAGAAGAGGAGTTTGAAGACGAGGTAGGGAAATGAGGAAGAGGTCCTAAGATGTAAATACCCAAGTCCAGAGTATTTGGAGCAGTCCCACCAGCCTCCTTTTCAGCTGACCACATCTGTTTTTTTTTTATCTAAGATGGCTGAGAAAATTGATAAAATGGAAACAGGGCTCAATGGTTAAGAGCACTGGCTGCTCTTGTAGGGGACCCAGGTTCAATTCCCAGCACCCATGTAGCCATCATTGATTGCTTGTCGTCTCAGTACTCAGGAGGCTGAAGCTGGAAGATACAAATCCATGCCAGTATAGCCTGCATAGAGAGACTTGTCTAAACACAATTTATTTAATCAACTGTCTTAGAAACAAAACAACAGGGTTGGGAATGTGGCTCAGAGTCTGCTTACCTTGAAGCCTGAGTTTAATCCCCAGCACCTCAGGAAACCCTATCTGGTGGTACACGCCTGCAACCCATCACTTGCTAGGTGGATGGAGGCAGGAGGATCAGAAGTTCAAGGTCATCCTCGACTGCATAGAGAATTCAAGGCCAAGAATGGGTTCCATGACATGCTGTCACAAAAACAAAACCAGAAATTAGTTGCTTAATTGTAATTGTCATATCTTTAATTTTTTTTTTTTTTTTTTTTTTTTGGTCTTTTTGAGACAGGGTCTCCTTGTAGCCCCAGCTGTCCTGGAACTCAGTATGTAGACCAGGTTGGCCTTGAACTCAGAGATCTGCCTGCCTCTGCCTCCCGAATGCTGGGATTAAAGGCCTATGCCACCAACGCCTGGCTCATATCTTTAAATTTTAAGGGCATTTCCTGGGAACTGTATCATGTGGATGATTTCATTCACTTTCATAATAGCACACTTGAGGTGGGAAGAAGGTCTGTGGAGAGCCAGAATCATGTAGGAGATAGCACAGTTAGCTAGATGGCTTGAAGCCTATGGGCACCAATTGGCCATGTGAACCAGGACCAGTTACTTTATTCTCTGCCTGTCCCCCCCCCCTTCTTTCTCTGATATGAAGGACATTGTTTCTGCCTCAAATGTTCTTCTCTTCCCTTTCCTCAGAAGATGAGAAATTAGATAAGATACAGAGTCATCATATTAGAATCACCCTTGTCTAAATGTTATCACATGGCAATTAAATGAGAATTTCTGGCAGGGGTATTTCAGTGAGTTACTAACTAGCCACATGAACTAGAGAAAATTCTTTAGCCTTCCAGGGCCTTTTACCACTAACTAGTTTCAAGCTCTCTTCACATTCAGAACCAATGAGTACAGTTTCATCTAGAATACTGCAAATTGCTACTTGATTCTTTTTTGGAAGGAGGTAGGATTTAAGTGAATAAAGTTCAAAAAGTAGGTTAGAATTGCCTTGAGAAGATGGTATCAGCAGCTAGGTTGCTGCGTGTTCAGCCTCCAGCTTAGAGTCCAGTCTAATGTATGTGGAGCCTACTAAATCACATAGAATAGAATTACTTGGGGCTGGAGCGATGGCTCAGTGGTTAAGAACACTGTTCTTGCAGAAGACCTGGGTTCGAATCCCAGCACCCACATGGCAGCTAACAACTGTCTGTAATTCCAGTTCCAGGGGATCCTACAAACTCTTCTGTCCTTTGAGGGCATTGCATGGCACGGGTGCACTTACCTACATGCAGGCAATACAGTCATACACATAAAATAAATGTAATAAAATATTAAAAAGGAGAAGGAGGAAGAAAAAGGAGGAGGAAGAGGAGGAGAAAAATTTCTTTCAACAGGTTCAGTGGCTGGTGATTGTAAGTCACATAAAATACACAAAAAAGAATAGAATTACTCTATTTTACCAAGAAAAAGCCATTCCGAAACTGCTTTTTTTGTTGAGGGAGGTACTAGAGATTGAACCCAGGGCCTCACACATGCTAAGCACATGTTTTACTACAGAGCTATACCCCTAGCACCAAAAAGAGCTACAATATTGTTGGGTTTTGTTGTTTATTTGTGACAAGATCTCACTATATAGCCCCAGTAGGCCTAGAACTGGCTATGTAGACCAGGCTGGCATCTGTCTCACAAAGATCTGCCTGCCTCTTCCTCCCAAGTTCGGGCATTCAGCACCAGGCCCAACCTTTCCTTGAAACTGAAACACTATATCTCTGACTTGTCTCCTTCATTTAGGTGTTGAGAAGTAGGAATCAGGGCTTAAATGGGTTCTAGTCCTAGTCCTTGACTGGTTTAAGTCTCTGCTTCTGCATTTTTAAGATGAAGGTAATAATATCTATTTATAGGGCCATTGTAAGAATTTATTGAGAGAACTCATAAACTACTTCCATGGCACCTGGCACCAAATGGAGTTACAAGTGTTAGTTGTTTTTGTTATGTGGAGACAGTTACCAGCTGTCTTTATTTGTGTTTATGAAATGAGGTCTCTCAGGTAGCCTGGGCTGACCTCAGAATTGCTGTGTAGCTGAGGATGAATTAAATTCCTAATCTTCTGCCTCCGCTTCCCAGTGCTGGGATTATAAGGATGTGCTGTCTCACCCAGCTTCATTGTGGATTTTGCCTAGCACTACCAGCTTTGTCAAGATGTATCCCTGTCTGTGCCTTTCAGCTTTGGAGATATGTCATTATAGGCTGAAAAAAGAAACTGTGAAAGTGGCCCTCTTGGGTCTTAGCAGGTGACAATAGGGCTGTCAGGGTAATAATGGAATTGTACTGATTCTGACTGTTAACATTTTTGTTCATTGAAAATGGCAGACCAGTCCCTTTCCCCATTCCCAAGGAATGGTGTCAGATCTGAGAGTAAGCTCTGTGAGAGAAGGGTCCCCTTAGACCTTTACTGTGATCAGGAATCTATCATTCTGATCATTGTTGATATTGTGATCCTAAGGCGTGATCCTAAGGTGGAGTGTGGGACTCTTGATAAACATACAAAGCAGGAAAAAAATGTTTTCTAGCTCAGACAATCCAGTACAGCTGCAGAGGGTGGGAATGGATGGGACCTTCCTGTTAGGTAAATCAGCAGTTCTGACTCAAACGCCCTCAGAACAGGTTTGTTGCTCTTGAAGGTGTCAATCTCACCTTGCTTCTCAAATGGAATCCATACTTAATTTAACTTGCCTGAGAAGCTATATTTAACTTCTGCCTGTTTGGTTGGATTCAGGGGCCCTCTGGTTTACTGTGAGTGTGTGTGTTAGGGGAGTGCACTGAGGACAGGCAGCATGATCAGCTGGGTAGCTCCCTACTGTCCTGACTGGCCACCTGAGAGCCCACCTCCTTGAAATGAGTGTGTGATTTGGGGAATTCCTTTGATTTCTTGGTACCCTGGGGTATTTGCTTTTCCTTTTGTTCTCCCACTAAGCTTCCTCCTAGGGACTTATGGGAGGATGCGGGGCTGGAGAGATGGCTCAGGGGTTAAGACCACTGACTGCTCTTGCAGAGGACCTGGGTTCGATTCCCAGCACCCACATGACATCTACAAACTGTCCTTAATTCCAGTTCCAGGGGAATCCGAAGGCCTTTTCTGACCTCTGTGGCATTGCACGACATGGGTGAACTCACATATATGCAGGCAATACACTCATACACATAAAATAAAAATAATTTTTTAAAAAAAAGAGAGAGAGTGAGTGCTACCTGAAAACTTGGCCTTAGAATGCTTCTGACAGAAGCCTGGTGGTCAGGTAGCTCATGGGAACTCAGATGGTGAGAGATGCCATCGTTGCCTCTCATGCCTTGGTTTCTTGTATATAGCTGCACATACGCATTTCATATGCTTAAACAGTAAAAGAGCGTTTTGTTGGTGGGTATTGTTTGGTTTGGTTTGGGTTTGGGTTTTTTTAAATTTAATTATTTTATTTATTATTTTTATTTTATGTGTGTGTATTGCCTGCATGTAGGTAAGTGCACCTGTGTCATGCAATGCCCACAGCAGTCAGAAGAGGCTCTTGGATCCCCTGGGACTGGAGTTAGGGACAGTTGTTAGCTGCCATGTGGGTGCTGGGATTCAAACCCGGGTCTTCTGCAAGAACAACCAGTGTTCTTAACCACTGAGCCATCTCTCCAGTCCCTGGTTTTGGTTTTTTTAATATTTTATTTTATTTAATTTTTGGTCTTTTTGAGACAGGGTCTCCCTGTAGCCCCAGTGGTCCTGGAATTCACTATGTAGACCAGGCTGGCCTTGAACTCACAGAGATCCACCTGCCTCTGCCTCCCAAGTGCTGGGATTAAAGGTGTGCACCACCATGCCCAGATTTAATATTTTATCATTTTAATTTTATGCATGTGAGTGTATTGCTTGCATATATGTGAGTTGGTGCACCTGTGCTGTGCAATGCCCACGAGGTCAGAAGAGGGCTAACGAACAGTTGTTAGCTGCCATGTGAGTGCTAGGAATTGAACCTGGGTCCTTTGCAAGAACAGTCAGTGCTCTTAACTGCTGAGTCATCCCTCCAGCCCCAGCTTTGGTTTTTTTGAGTCAGGGTCTCCCTGTAGCCTCAACTGTCCTGGAACTGGCTGTGTAGCTCAGACTGACCTCAGTCTCACAGAGATCCTCCTGCCTCTGTCTCCTGAGTACTGGGATTAATGGCATGTAACACCATGCTTGACTGGACGAATTTTTTTGAAACAGAGTCAAGCTGTGTACCTACCAAGCTGGCCTCCAACCTCATCCCTACTGTTCCTGAATGATTGGGTTATAGGTATGCACCAATGTGTCTGGCAAAGTAGTGTTTTAAATTCCCAGATACAAAGACCCTGCCAAATGTAGTAGCACAGGCCTATAATCCTAGCACTTGGGAGGGAGAGGCAGAGGGTGAGGAATTCAAGATTATCCTCAGCTACATAGCAAGTTCAAGGCCAATGTGAGACTTTATCTAAAAAACAAAACCAAAAAAGCCTGATGTAGATGCCCGCTGTCTCTGCTTCTTTGTAGGATTTCTTGTCTGCTGTGGAGGATGCAGAGAACCACTTTACTGGGGTACTGCCTGGAAACGCTGGGCGTCTGAGACCTGTCTCTTCCAGGCCACAGGAGACTGTACAGGAACAGTCCTCAAAGCCACTTCCATTACACCGCACTGCTCCTTCAGCCCTGGGACTCCGCCTCCCTACCCCCATCATACCCCAGACCATTAGGGACCTACCTTCTGCAGGAGCAGCATCTCTAAGGCCTGTCTCATTTTCCAGTAGTTGGACAGGCAGTTGGCAAAGAAAGACACTGACAGAAGTGTGCCAAGAACCAGCAGGACCCCAGTCCTCAGTACCATACTCTGGACTCATCTTTGAGAGCCATCAGCAGGGCACTGGTGGCATTGAGGTGCCTGAACAAGATGAATTTGACAAAGCCCTGGCAGGCATGGAGCTGGAGGGAACTGGCATGGAGCTAGGACTTGGAGTTGACAGCAGGACCACCCAAATCCTACCTGCTCAGCAGCAGGAAGACCCAGTATCTGTGAAAAAGGCCCGTGTAGCTGATCTGAGTGGATCTTTCCAGAAGGGGCCTATGCTTATCACCCACACAGTAGGCATCACACAGGATGAGCCTCTAGAACCAGCTACCCACTGTAGAACTCTACGGCCCCGCTTGAGACCTGGATCCTCAGGCCTTCTTGTCCCAGCCACCTCAGCATTTCCCACTCAGCAATTTCACTGGGAAGTCAGCCCCAGAAATGGCCCTGTTCGTAAACCCCAGCCTCGCCAAACTACTGGGGGCAGCCCTCGGAATCGTTTGCCTGGTCAGCCACTTCAGTCTCCCAGTGCTTGGCTAAGTGGAAAACCTTGTTTTCCTGGACCTGGAACTCCCAGTTGCAACTCTGTAGTATTTCCTCAGGGGTCCTTGCAATCCCAAGCCCCAGTATCTTCTGTTGACTCTCCTGTCAGCACCCCCAAAGGTCCCCATTCCACCCTGGTTCCCCAGGGAGCTCTGCAGACACCTATAGTCACCAACCACCTGCTACAACTGGTTACTGCTGCCAGTAGGACACCCCAACAGCCCATTCGTCCCTCCATCCGAGCCAAAACCCGTCGCTTCCCAGGCCCAGCAGGACTCTTGCCCCACCAGGTGAGTGACCAGTTCTCCAGGATACTAGGATTCAGGAAAAGAAGCAATGGCCCAGTTCTGTCTGGTGTCTATTCCTTCACTGCCAGAGGATGAGCAGGAAGAAGCAGAGGGTTTGCATGGCCTGGGGACATAACTCAGATGATAAGAGTGCTTAAAAATCCACCTGTGATGTGGGGCATGGTGGTGCACGCCTGTAGTCCCAGCACTTGGGAGGCAGAGGCAGGCAGATCTCTGTGAGTTCAAGGCCTGCCTGGTCTACACAGTGAGTTCCAGGCCAGCTGGGGCTACAGGGAGACCCTGTTTCAAAAAGACCAAAAAAAAAAAAAAAAATCCACCTGCGAAAAAAGTGTATGAGAGTCTTAGTTTTCATGTGTTTGTGGAATGTCTACTGTTTGGTTCTACTAGATAAGCAATATTCACTCATGGGGGCTGGAGAGATGGCTCAGCAGTTAAGAACACTGGCTGTTCTTGCAGAAAACCCGGGTTTGAATCCCAGCACCCACATGGCAGCTAACAACTATCTGGAACTCCAGTTCCAGGGGATCCTACAGCCTCTTCTGTCCTCCATATACAACACAGGTGCACTTACCTACATGCAGGCAATACACACATAAAATAAAAAACAGCCTGGCATGGTGGCACATGCCTTTAATCCCAGCACTCAGGAGGCAGAAGCAGGCAGATCTCTGTGAGTTCAAGGCCAGCCTGGTCTACATAGTGAGTTCCAGGACAGCTGGAGCTACAGGGAGACCCTGTCTCAAAAAGACCAAAAATAAATAAAATAAAAATATTCACTCATAGGCCAAGAGGTAGATGTGGGCATTTTGCTTGGAACTGAAAGTATGGAGATTGAAGAGAAGAGTTTCCTGTCCTGACTTGCATGCAGTACAGTAGAAGTATGTGTAAATGAATGTTTTTTCCAAAGACGCAGTGTAAGGGTCTTTCCCTGGCTGCTGGGGACATGTTGGCTCTGCCTTGAGCTTGCTGAATGACTTTGTGTGAATGATGAGGAGGGTAACAAGTTGGCAGGGTTGGGGGAGCTCTGTGTTTGGAGGAGGATCCAGCAGTGGGAAGACAAGCTCCAGAGCAGGTGCTTTTAGAGATCCACTTAACAATTCACTGGCTGGTATGTGGAGCCAACAGGAGAAAGCTGGACTGAAAAGGAGATACCCAGCAAAGAGGTTTTTTGTTTTTTTTTTTCTTTTTGAGACAGGGTCTCCCTGTAGCCCCAGTTGTCTTGGAACTCACTATGTAGACCAGGCTGGCCCTGAGCTCGCAGAGATCCACCTGCCTCTGCCTCTCAAGTGCTGGACTATAGGCGTGCGCCACCACACTCGGCAAGAGTTTTTATTTAAACAATGATGGAGGGATAGGGTCCATCAAATTAGATTTGAGTTTGATCCCAGGCAACTGGGCTCTGAAGTTCTTCCCTTCCGGTAAGGGTGGTTGATACATCCCTTTTGTTCTTCCCTTGCCCTTCAAGAGAACTCCAAGGAGATGTCTGCTTTCCTCTGGGAAGGGAGGGCCTTGTGGAAAGTTGCTCCATAACTCATCATAGACCCCTCTATTTGTGTGATTGCCCCCTTCAGGAAGCCCTGGGCTTTGCTCCTAGGCCATCTTCCTCACATTCCCAAAACAATCCCCAAAGTGTTTTTGTGAGCTGCCAATGAGGCTCCTGAGACTGCTTTAGGAGCGATGTAATATGTGTTAATTGTCCTTGATAGTTTCCTGAACTCATTATATAACCCAGACAAGATGCTGTACTTGTAAATAACAGCTGCTGAGCTTGCTCTCGCCTTCTCTCCCCTCTTAGCATAGTGGGAAGAATCTAGAGGAGATCATGGTTTCCACACCACAGACTCCGACTCATGGTGCTCTGGCTAAATTCCAGACTGAGGTAACTTCTTCCATGTAAATCTGTACTTCTTGAGCATAATTTGAGAATGAGGGGCATCCCTGCATATTTCAGGCAAGAATCAGAGTTGATGTTGCCCAGCTTTACCAAAGGACAGTTGGAGAAGAAAGTTGGGGGAGGTGGCAATTTTACAGACATAAAATGAGGCCTGTCCTGATGCCATGATCCAGTCTTCCATTTGAGAAAAAAATGCCCAGCTAGCTACATCTTTCCCCAGGGGGAAGAGAGTGATAAGTATTATGAGATGGTATCTTGGGAACACTCTCAGGTTTCTGGGAGCTGAGCTGGGAAGGATCTGTCCTCATCTTGCCTCCAGGAGGCTCTCTTTTGGTGGGTGGGACCAGGCCCCAACCCCCCGAAGTTCTAGTTGACCTATCCTCAGACCTACCTTTGCTTTTAATTCTCCCATATTTCTTTTCCTTGCTGAAGTGCCCCAGAGCTGTCCATTTCAGATCCCAAATAGTTAATAATCATCTGGATTCAAAGTAGTTGTTACTACAAGAGAGCTAATGGTTAAAGTCAGAGGCAAATAAAAATACTGACTGAATTCAAAATGGCTAAGATGTTCTGTGAGCCTACACACACACACAGCCCCTTCCTCTAGGACTTCTCCAGGCTATTTTGTGCATGGGGCTGCAGAGGTAGTTTTACTGCTCTTGTAGAAGACCCTGGTTTGGTTCATAGCACCATCAAGCAGCTCACACTTGCCTGTTCCAGGGGATTCAGCACCCTCTTCTGGCCTCTGAGGCCAGAAGAGGGTATATATAGTGTACATATGTGTGTATATAGTGTATATACATACACTCAGGTACACATACACATTAAATAAATAAATCTTTAAACAGTTTTTTTTTTAAAAAAAAGTGGATGGACAGCTGTTTGCTTCAATGTAATTCTAAAGTCAAGACCTGATTTAAAAAAAAAGAAGAAGCTGTAGCACCTTTGCTCTGGCTCCTTAGGGAACAATGCACTGTGCAGTCAGGTTTCACATGCTTCTTTCTGGCCATGGAGGTACTTGAGAGGAAAGACTGTGGCTTCATTCCCCCTGCAAGGCCCCACTGTTCTCCACCCCCCCCTCCATCCTGCCTCAGTCTAAGATCTATCACAAGGTTGACCTACTAATGCAGACTCCTCTCTTCTGGTTCCAGGTCATTGCTAGTTCCCAGGGATCTGTGGAGGAGGATTTTGGACGAGGGCCCTGGCTCACCATGAAATCTGCTCTGGGCCTGGATGAGAGAGACCCCACCTGCTTCCTCTATACCTACAGCATTGTCATGGTGCTGCGGAAGGTAAGGGTCCTGATAGCTGAGTCTCAAATGAAGAACATGGTTTTCCCTTATGTCAAGCTACTGCCTACTTCACTGTAGAAGAGGCATCTGCCTCCTCTTACTCCAGGCCTGTCCACAGGGGGCAGCCTGAAGTCCCTTTGGGAACTCAGATTTGCCTGCCTCTACCTCGTCAGTGCTGGGATTAAAGGCATGTTCCACCACGCTTGGCTTTCACTCACTTTTTCACTATCAGCTACAGTATTGCGTGTGCATAGGCAAAAAGAGAGAGTGGATTCTGGGCATGTTTCTCTACTTCCAGGTACCAGATTAGGGATAGGTGATAAGCATGCTGCCACCCTAATAGCTCCCTAGTGGTCTCTCATGTGATGATACATGTTGGTACACATGCCAACGTATCCCTGTCTGTGTCCTGTCAAGATGGAGTGAGCTATAAAAACTGTACACAGAAGAAAGGCATGGGAGAGAAACAGGACTGCCAGCTTTAGACCTCTACAAGGAGGAGAAATGTGCTGTTCCACTTGCCCCTTTGCCCTCACACAGAAAGACCATTCCCACCCCCTGGTTGCCATGGGAAGTTACATGTGGACATGGCTAGCTCAGTGAATGCCTCTCCTTGTAAGCAGGCAGCCCTGAAGCAGCTCCCCAGGAACAAAGTCCCCAACATGGCAGTGATGATCAAGTCCCTGACACGGAGCACAATGGATGCCAGCGTGGTTTTTAAGGACCCCACGGGTAAGGAGTAGGTCCTGGAAGTGTCTCATGAGTGTCCTCCCTTGAGATTGAGAGATGAAGAAGAATCACCTTGTCAGTTTGCAGGTGGGAAAATGGAGTCAGTAAGCAGCCCACTTCTCAGCCAGGGCTCAGACCATTTGCTGTGCTGCCCTTGACCCTGAGACTGATGGCCTTGTGGTATTTGCAGGAGAGATGCTTGGTACAGTGCACAGGATGCTGTTGGAGACATGCCAGAATGAGCTGAAGCCTGGCTCAGTGCTGCTGCTAAAACAGGTAGGGTTGCTCTAGGTGGGACCTGGCGGTGGGGAGAGCTCCTAGCTTTTCTGTGCCCTTGCTTGGTTGGTTGTCTTCTTGCTAAGCAAGAAGAGTTTAGGCTCTGGTTTGCTAGAGCCAAGAGCAGGCCTACGGTCATGAAACTGTTCCACTGTTCATAGGTAGATGGAGATGGAGGGTTGAATTTGGGGCAGTGGGTAGTTCTGCTGTGGCACCAGGTCTAAAACGGGAGTGATTTGTGTGAACCTAATGCAGAGGACAGGGAGCAAGAGGAAAGCTGGTATCTTGTGGTCATCTAACAGCCCCATGCTCCTTCAGGACACTGACTCTCCCCTTCCTAACTCCAGATTGGAGTGTTTTCTCCTTCACTCAGAAACCACTATCTCAATGTGACACCCAAAAACCTGGTCCATATTTACAGCCCAGATTCTGGGGACGGGAACTTCCTCAAGTCATCTCAGCCCTTGCCCAAGGTAAGAGGGATAGGATGGATGGGGACTAGTGAAGCTGTCCTGCCTGGCTTTTCTTATTTCTTCCTCTCCTCCATCCTGGAGGCAGAGGTTTGACGGAAGTAGGCAGTTTCCCTGAGGTGAAGAGATGTCTTTGGGAACAGGATTATCTCTCCTGTCCCTGGTCCAGCTGCCTGCCAGATGGCTGAGTAACAGTACCTAGAGGAGCAGCTGGCTTCTTGCTGATCCCTGAGTGTCTGATGGCAGGATTGAACACCTGAGAGGACAGGGGTCACTTGAGAACCAGGGTGGAGAGCTCTCTAGGGGGTGGTGGCAGGTATTGATGGAGGGTCACATCTGCACCAGGTGGCAGTGCAGAGAACAGAGTATAAATGGCCTGTCAGGTGTGCCAGCACTTGCTCTGCATCTCCCCTCCTGGTCTTTGCCTTTGCTAGGCATCCACTGGGGATATACCCCTTTAGGAACTGAGGCAAGCATTTGGTGTCTATGGGTGGTAAAGATAGGATCCAGGGAGGTCTACCCCAGGACAAGTGCAGAGCCCAGGCTTGACTCTGCTGCCTCCACCCTTGAGATCCTAGCCTAGAAGACAGGAGACGTGGGTCTTATCCAGGCTCTGCTAATAATTTCTGCTGTCCCCTCCCCTGCTATTGCACCATCTATAGAATAAGTGTTTCAACTTGATGATCTCTAGTCGATGTGGACCTTTACCTCTAATTTTGTACTTATATTTCCTTCATCTTTTCCTTGAACCCCTCCACATTTCCTCAAAGTCATCCCACCTCTATAATCTTCATTTTTCTTTTAAATTTCTGATCATCCATATTCTCTAAAATAAACTGAAATCATAGAATAGAAAAAAAAAGATAACTCTTCCCCACTCCCACTCCCTATAGCTAGCCACAGTTAAATTTCATTACCAGTTTTAATTACTTTTATCATATATTAGCTAATTTGAGAGTTGATAACAGCTTGTTTTTAATCCTAGGCTAACTCTTCAACATATTGGTAAATGTCCTCTTTACCCTCTACTGTGGTTACACAGATTCCCTAAAACACTAGACAGTGATAGAATTAGGAAAGATCAGCTCAGAAGGTCTGTTTTGTTTTAGTTATCTGCTGTTTTGGCTGTTTGGTGTTTTAGCTCTTTTCCTCAGCCTGGCCCTGGGTGACCCTGGCCCCTGCCATACTCCTTTAGCATGTCCTTGTCCTGAGACCCTGCTCTCCCTTGAGGTCCTCTTAATAGAGGTGGTCCTACCAGGAGGGATTTCAGGGGCATGGGTACTAATAACCAGATCCTCTGTCCTTAGGATCCAGGAAGCTTCTTTGGCAGTCACCAGTCTGATGTGGACACAGAGCCTACACAGGGCCTCAGGACAGAACAGAACCCAGAGGACGGGGTATCCCTTGAGGAAGAACTTCCAGAGGGAGGTAAGGCAAGCAGCCTCTCTAGATCCTCTGATCTACCTTGGGCGGGGGGCAGAGTACTCCTGGTTGCAGCTGTACCTTAGACCTGCCACTGTGAGTCTGTGGACCTTCACACTGTTTCACAGAAATCAGAGGATGTTTTATTCACAAGCCTTGTTAAGAGATATCATACTACGGACGGGCATGGTGGCACATGCTTTTAATCCCAGCACTCAGGAGGCAGAGGCAGGCAGATCTCTGTGAGTTCAAGGCTAGCCTGGTCTACATAGTGAGTTCCAAACCAGTTGGGGCTACAGGGAGACCCTGTCTCAAAAAAAGACCAAAAAAAAGAGTTAATCATACTAGTTAATAACAATGGGCATGATGGCACACACCTTTGACCCTAGCACTCTAGAGGCAGAAGCACGTGGATATCTCTTGAGTTTGAGGCCAACCTGGTCTATATAAGTGAACCCTGTCTTTCCCCCTCAAAAAAGTTATTATATTAGTTAACAATATGATAGGGGCCACATAATGCACATGAAGTGTGGTCTACTTCTCCCTCATTTACTGGCCGTGGCTTCAGTCACAGGACAGAACATCATCAGTCTCTGGGCACACAGGTGCTATATTTGTGTCCCATTTTGAATCCTCTGTGGGCTCATCAGCAGGCCTTGAAGGCTGATTTCCCATTCTGCCTACAGTCAGAGTTCCCCCCAGGAAATGCTAAGGAGTTACATATCAGTGTGGTTAGGGGGATCAGGACACAAACTTGAGAGGCCCAAATGGAGATCTTGTGGATAGGTACAGGGATGTCCAACTGAAGATCTTGTGGGTGGGTATCAGGAAGTCATCAGGTAAAGCCATCAAAGTCCTGGTCACTTTCTTCGATTTTGATTTCAGAAATTCAATCCTGCCTGGCTGGGAGGTGATAGGATTGTGGGTAGGTGGTTCATATCACCCACGTTCACAGTAAATCACTGTGTAAACCACAAAGACCATTTGTTTATGTACTATAAAGGCGAATCTGCCCCTTATGCTGGGGTCTTGTGTTATCTGGAATGCTGCACTTTCTCCTTGTAAGTAAGCCCCATTTCCAACAAAAGAGGTTTGTGTTCATAGAACAAGAGAGGGAGTTGGCTGTTGAATACAGGTGCCAATGTCACATTTCCACTGTAGGTACACTAACCTACACTGTAGGTTAGTGGTGCTTAGACAGGGCCGGAGACAGTACAAATTCTTGCTGTTTCCTGATGTCCTCGCCCTCACCACTCACCCTGCTCATCCCCTTCATCCCAGACAGTGTTTAACTAGTCATACTACAGCTAATGCAGGCCAAATTTCGGTTTTGTTTTGTTTATTTATTTTTGGTCTTTTTGAGACAGCATCTCCCTGTAGCCACAGCTGGCCTAGAACTCACTGTGTAGACCAAGCTGGCCTCATCTCATGGAGATCCACCTGCCTCTGCCTGAGTGCTGGGATTAAAGGGATGTGCCACCACACCTGACTGATTGATTTTTATTTTATGTGTCTGAGTGTTTTGCATGCACATAAGTAAATGCACCTGTGTGGTACAATGCCTGCAGAGGCCAAAAAAGGGCCTCAGATTCCCCTGGAACTGGAATTACAGACTGTTGTTAGCTGCTGTGTAGGTGCTGGGAACTGAACTAAGGTCCTCTCCAAGAGCTGCCAGTGCTCTTAACCATTGAGCCATCTTTCCAGCTCCAATTTTTTTTTTTTTTTTTGAGACAGAGTCTTGCTATATAGTCCTAGCTGGTTTCTACTTACTCTATAGCCCATGCTGGCCTCAAATTTAGCACTCCTCCTGCTTTAACCTCTAAATGTTGGGATTACAGGTGTGAGCCACCATACCTGGCTTAGGCAACTTTTTTTTTTTTTTGGTCTTTTTGAGACAGGGTCTCCCTGTAGCCCCAGCTGTCCTGGAACTCACTATGTAGACCAGGCTGGCCTTGAACTCATAGAGATCCGCCTGCCTCTGCCTCCCAAGTGCTGGGATTAAAGGCGTGCACCACCATGCCCGGCAAAATTTTTTTTTTAAATATTTATTATTTTTATTTTATGTGTATGATTGTATTGTCTGCATGTATGTGAGTGCACCCATGCAGTGCCTCGGATGTCAGAAGAGGGCTTCGGATTCCCTTGAAATTGGAGTTAAGGACAGTTCGTAGCCGCCATGTGGGTGCTGGGAATCGAACCTGGGTCTTCTGCAAGAGCAGTCACTGCTCTTAACCACTGAGCCATCTCTCCAACCCCCAACTTTTTTTTTTAATTGTGGGGGGGTCCTCACTATAGCCCAGGCAGGACTGGAACTTGCTATGTAGCCTAGGGTGGCCTGGAATTCATAGAGATCTGCCTGCCTCTGCCTCCAGAGTGCTAGAATTAAAGGTATGTACATCCAGCTTGGGCAACTTTTTTTTTTTTTTTTTTTTTTTTAACTGTAAGCAAATTCCAGCCCTACCTCCTTTGAGTACAGTCCCAGTCACCTGAATTTAAAATTTGAATGCTTCCAGCCGTGTGTGATGACTTATACCTTTGATTCCAGCGCTTGGGAGGCAGAGGCAGGTGGATCTCAGTGAGGCCAGCCTGGTCTACATAGTGTGTTCCAGGCTAGCTGGGTCTCCAGGGAGACCCTGTCTCAAAAAGACAAAATAAAAAAAAAATTGAATGCTCCCCAAACTGCCTTCTGTTTTTCCTTCCAGCAGCAGTTATGAGTGATCTTGTTAGACTTGGAGCTAGGCTCTTAGGTGTAGTTTACAGTCTGACTTTTGGGGCCTCCTGATCCTGTTGGGCAAGTTGTTGTACCTCTTTAAAGCTTGTTCTCTCAGTAAAGTGGGGTTTATCACAGCAGCCACCTTGAGCTGCCCTGAGAAGGGCTGCTGAAGCACAGTGTTCACTCCATAAGTATGAACTGCCATTGTTAACAGAAAGAATGTCAGCAGGCATCACGCAGGTCAGCTGTGCTTCCAAGCTCTCATAAGCACCAATCTGAGAACTACGGGCAGGAATTTTTCTTTTTTTTTCTTTTACCTTTTATTTTATTTATTGTTGGGGGGAGGGACAGGCATGCTATAGTACATGTGTGGAGGTCAGAGGACAACTTATGGGAATCATTTTTTTTTTCCTTTGCTATATGGGTCCTGGGGATAAAACTCAAGCCATTAGGCTTTTCAGCTAGCACCTTTACCAGCTGAGCCATCTCACTAGCCCGGTAATGAGTCTGTGCATTCTCTGTGTTCACTCAGGCACTCCAGGGAGCATCCACTAAGGCACTGGGGGAGTGGGGTGATGCTCTCTCCCACTGTCAGCTGAGAACACATGTTAATGAACCCTGATTCCAAACCCTTCTTCCTCCATCCAATGAGAAGGTTGTAGTAGGGAACCTCAGAACCCTTCCAGCTTGGCACTGTGTCTCCAGGTGGAAGGCAAAGAAGCCATGAGGCCCTAGGGAGTCTCCATTCTTACTGAAATGGCCCAGAGCTTGCATCCTACCTTTAGTTGTGCAAGTGTTTGTAGGGAGCAGAGGGAAGGTAGAGTCAGGCCAGTCTCAGACCCAAGGGCATAGGCACACTGCCCTAGGGGAGCTACATTCCTGGTTGTGTAGGTAGATCCAGACCCTCCTGAAGGGCATGAGCTTTAGATCTGAGTTACCTGAAATCCTATGGTTGTCAATGAGGCTACCCCCCTCAATCTCCTTCTGCAGATGACCTGGATGGGCTCCTGAGTGAGCTCCCTGAGGACTTCTTCTGTGAACCCAGCAGTTGGGGCTGTCTCAAGACAGGGCATCCACCATAAACTGGCAGCCTCTACTAGACAAGGTTCTAGATGCATATGGTTGATCCCATCCGAGGAAGAGAAGGCCAGCATGACTGGGGATTACACAGACTCGGCCTCTGATGCCTTCTACATGGCTGATTCCTGAGCTCCCCATCTCAGATTGGATTGTGTGTTTTTATGGCTTGAGAACTTCGTTTGGCATGGGCATCCCAGAAATCCTGTCTAGCTCTACTGTTCTTGGAGCCCTCCACTGCATCATTCCTACTCCAGCCAATGTGACACTCCCACCTCAGCTTAACTTTAGAGATGTTGGGTCTGGTTTCCTTGTCCCTTTATTCCTTAGTCCCCAGACAGCAGAGGCGCCCAGAGGAGCCACAACACAGCAAAGACAGCCTGAAGCCTGTAGCTGACCCTGAGGCCTGTAGCTGAATGCAGGCTATTGCACCTGGTTCTAAAATAAAGCAGCTCCGCTTTATCTCCTGCCCCCTCCTTCCCACCTCTGTTCTATGCTTGCTGATAGGGCAGCCAGGACTCTGGCAGAGCAAGGAGCTCTGACTCTTTTTGTCTTTCGCTCTCTTTCTCATTCTTTCATGCATGTATATGTGAGCGTATATGGATGTGTGAGGATGCATGTGCATTTTTAAGTGTGTATGTGTAGAGGGCAGAGGACAACAACAAAAAACAAAAACAGGGCTAGGCTCAGTGGGTAAAGTTCAGGCCTGAATTTGGATCTCCACCATCCATGTAAAAGCTGAATGTGGTGGTAGGCATCTATAACCCTGACATTGGGGTAGAGATAGGTAGAACTGGGGGTTCAGTGAGACCCAGTCTCAAAAAATAAAGTGGAAAAGCATTTGAGGACGACATCCTGATGTCAACCTCTGGTTGCACATGTACCCACACAGACATACCCCCTACTCACACCCCCCAACAACACAGAGTTCCCTGATGTGCCACACCCAATTTCTTCTGCTATCAGCATCTTGCATTGCTAATTAATTTGATCCATTTACCACTTTTTCTTAAGAAACGATCATACCACCGTGTATCCAGGCTGGCCTGGACTTTGCTCATACCCAGTCTGATCTTGAACTCATGGTCTTCCTGCCTCTGACTCCCAGTGCTGGTATTATAGGCCTATGCCATGAATGAAGCCTGGCCCCATTTGTCTCAATGAACTGATATTACTGTGTTTTCATTAGGTATACTCCAGACTTTTCTCAGGTTTGTTCAGTTTGCCTCTGGGCCTCTCCCCCAGGATCCCACATTGTATTTCACCCTCATGTTTCTTTAGGCTCCTCTTGCAGCCTCTCAGACTTCCCTTGGTTTTGATGGCCTCAATTCTGAAAAGCATCTGTCAGGAATCTCATTTTTTTTTTAAGATTTATTATTATTTTTTAAATTTATGTGTAAATGTCTGTAAGTGCCACGTGTGTATGGGTGCCCATGGCGTCCAGAAGAGTGTGATCCCTTGGAACTGCAGTTACAGGCAGTTGTGAGCTACCCGATGTGGGTGCTGGGAATCAAACTCAGGTCCTCTGGAAGAACAGTATACACTCTGAACTACTGAGTAATCTCTTCAGCCCCTGCACCCTGCAAAGTGCTGGGATTAAAGGCATGTGCTACCATTCCCAGCACCAACCAGGCATCTTGTAGGAGGTCCTCTCTGTGAGAATTTGTCTAATGATGTCTCATGATGTCTCATGGGGTTGTGGGCCTGGAAGAGAAAGGCTTGCAGTAAGATTCCAGTTTCTTTTTTTTGTTTTGTTTTGCGGTGCTGGAGTTTGAAACTAGGGCCTTGTGTTTGTAGGCACTCAACTGCTGATCTCTATCCCCAGCCCTCCTCCCCCCGACCCCCTTCTATAACTTTTCATTTTGAGACAAAGTCTTACTATGTTGCCTGGGCTGACCTTGAATTTGGTGGTCCTTCTGTCATAACCTTCCAAGTAGCTGGGATTGTAGTGTTGTGCCACCAGACCCAGCTTCTCCCATCTTGTGGTTCCTGTGTACCCTGGTCACCTGGCTGAGGAAAGGTCTGTCAAGGTTCTCTACTGTCTTTATTCTCTTTCTGTTCTGTACTGTCTGGAAGAAGTCACTGTGTAGCGCACACTTTAGGAGTGGAGAGTTCTGTTCCCATCCTAAGGGCAGAAGATCTACATCAATTACTTTGAATTTTATATGGTAGGTTTGTCATCTCCCTCACTTATTAGTTCATTTCTATTAACATGGACCCAGGTATTTATTTTATACTTGGAGTTGTAATCCAATACTGCCTTATTTATTTTGTTGCCCAGTAACTCTTCATTGCTATAGCTCCTCTGTACCACCTTTCAGACCACAGTTGAACAAGGGCATGGGCGGCGCAGGAAAGGTCTAATTATTCAAGTTGCTAACCGTGTTTTTCCTTCCCAGAATGAAGGACAGAAAGGAAAACTCCCAACTTATAGGCAAGAGGAAGCAGGTTGAAGAGACCAGTTTGACTGCCAGCATCCCCAGCCTCAGCCTTCACTGAGCAGCTGGAAGCCAGGGGCCCTCCAGCCAGGCACTGCTCTTGCCTTCATCTTTCTCCTCCTAAAGAGACTGATCCCATGAATCTAGTCTTAGGGGTAAGAGAGCAAGGGGCTAGAGGGCTCTCTGTTGAGTTACCTGCTCATTGCTAGGGGCCCTGTTTCAGAAAGTTTGTGTGTCATAGGCCAGGACAGTGCAGGGCTAGTTGCAAAGCACCTTGTACTTTCTTGTTTCTACTTGGTTTTCCTCCCTGAGCTTTCCATGAGTGTCTTCCATCTGTTACTAATGCCTAGCTCCACCTCAAGCTTTGACTTGGGCCAGGCCCACCTAGGTGTTGTCAACTAAACCATTCTGGGTGTGCAGTGCTCGTCTCTGTTCAGGATACCTCTGAGCCCTGGTCCCCACTGCCCAGCCTTGACTGAGCCCAAACTCAGTCATATCCTAGTTTTATATCCTAGTTTCTTGGGTGCTTCATTGTCCCCTACACTCTGAGCTCTCAGGAGACAGAGTGAGCATCAAGTCCCCTGGCACTGTTCCTCCAATTCAATTCTAGGCTCCTGTGGGCCCGCCAGCAGGCCTCTGTTCTCTGCATCCAGAAGCTAAGGTTAAGATCTACACCCTAGTATCTGGGGACAAAGCTGTAGTCAGCACTTTCAGGCTTGTGAGGCAAGAAGGCAGGGGAGAAGGCTGTGACTGTTGGATGCCTCAGGGAATAAAAGGACGCCCACCACCTTGGCTCTTCTTGGCCTCACCTGGCCTTGCCAGATTCTCAACCCTGGGAACCCATCTGTGGGTGCTCATCCAGGCTGTTGGCGGGGCAATTAAAACACTAAATGGGTTCCAGTAAGGTTAATCACAGCTGCATCCATAGAGGCACCTTTCTCTGAGGAGCTCCAAACCCTTGATGGACGTGATCTCATTCCTCCTCTGGGATCCCCCACCCTGGAATGCCACCAAGAAGCTGGGGCCAGGCACAGAGTGAGTGAACAGAGGGTAAGGGCAGTGCTGGAAAAAGCCCAGGCTGCTGCCACCCACTTGGGCTGGTGGATGAGTGTTTGCTCTGGCACAGAATAGGGACCTTCATTCAATGCACAGAAGAGGCCAGACTTCTATGAGGCAAATGCTCCTAAACACCATGTCAAGACCTGCTGTGCCAGGGCCTGCCCAGGAGCCAACATCCAGCATGGTACAGTGGCATCTATGGCACCATGGGATGGGTGCATTGTAAAGCCTCTGATGTCTTTTAAGAGTACTAGATGGTTACTGGGCATGGTGACGCACACCTTTAATCCCAGCACTCAGGAGGCAGAGGCAGGTGGATCTCTGAGTTCAACGCCAGCCTGGTCTACAAAGCAAGTTCCAAGCCAGCTGGGGCTAAAGAAAAAACCGTTTTAAAAAAAACAAAAAAAAAAAAAAAAAAAAGAGTACCAGATGGTAAGCCAGGTGTGGTGGTGCCCGCCTTTAATCCCAGCACTCCAGAGGCAGAAGCATGTGGATCTCTGAGTTCAAAGCCAGCCTCGTCTAAATAGTGAGTTCCAGGCCAGCTGGACCTACAGGGAGACCCTGTCTCAAAAAGACCAAAAAAAAAAAAGGGGGGGGGCGTTCCAGATGGAAGGAGCTGATACCTGATACTGCAGGATGCTGCAGACACCTCACCAGAACCAGGTGGCCCTGGAGGAAGAGTAGAAAATTCAAGCCACTATGAAGCAGGGAAGGGTGAGAAGCTGATGAGACTATCATGTGTGGGGCCAAACCAAGGGATTGGGGTGTTTTGTTCAGGTAGTGTCACTATGTGGCTTTAACTGGTCTTGAAATCTCAGAGATCCGCCTGCCTCTGCCTCCCAAGTGCTACTGGAATTAAAAGTGTGCACCACCACACCCACCAAATTGGGACTTCTTTGGAAAGAGCAGGTGCCAGGAGTCTGCAGAAGTTTTTAAGCAAAGGAAGTAAGCATATTCGACAGATCATTCTGGTGGGACAGCAGAGGGGCGTCAGAGGAAAAAGGAGGTCACAGGCTGGGTTGATCCAGGTTGAAGGCACTGAGGACCTGACTAAACCTGGTGACAAAGGGGAAGCAGGGGATGGACAGGAAGAAGCGAAAGGGGGAAGTTGCTGGAGAAGTTCCTTGGAGAAGGCCCAGGGAACCTGGAGGAGCCCACACTGCTTTCCTGGGGAGAAGACACCATGCCCCTGTGACTCTGTAGACAGACTGGCTAGTGTCCCTCCCTCCTTCCCTTTTCCTTTCTCTTCCTCTGCCTGCCAGTCACACTAGCTACTGTGGTTTCCTAGTCTCATTCCCCCCCTAGAGGCTCCTGGAAGCACAACAGCTTCCTCCTGAAGGTGAATGGATATGTGGTTTGAAGATCTCCGGTTCAGCCCCCACTTTCAGGGTCAACCACTTACAGAGCCTCGGGCAGGCATGTGAGTCCCCACAGAACCCTGCCTAAAAATCTTGCACAGATGGTAGAGACCAAGTCCTGCTTGGGCATGAGAGTTGGGCATTGCTCAACTGTCTGTCTTCACCCCACATGCCCACAGCCCCTGGAGTCAAAGCTCTTTATCTTGAGTCCTGACCACTGGGGTCCTGGCTCTACCCCCATAAGCTATGTGACCTTGAGCCAGTAGCTTTTACCTTGTTAAGCCTTAAGTTCCTTATCTGTAAAACAAAAAGACCACCCATCTCAGGTGCTGGACTGAGATACTTAGCTTGGCCATGTCATTTAGTATCCAAACCTGTTTCGTACTACTGTGTTGACTGCTAGGTCATCTGAGTGGCAATGGATGTCAAAGTGATTTAAATTCTAGAATTCTCACTGCATACTGAATACATGGTGATTGCTATTACTGAGAATTCAGGAGAAGCTATTCAGCTTCTCAGTATCTCTCTTCACCTTCCCTGACTGAGGTCTGTGCTTTTCCCTCCATGTGGGCCAATCTGAGCTCCTGCCGACTCCCTCAGCTAACATCGCAGAAGCTGCAGGACTGTGATCTTGCCCCCCCCACCCCCTGCCCTGTCCTGCCCTTTCATCCCATGGCTGACTACTTAGAAGTGGGGTCCAGGAGTGGCTTCAGCTGAGGAGCTGATGACCAATGGAAGGGTACCAGTAGGGGCAGGAGCTGGCCCAGCACTATCTGTACCAGGATCATGACTCCAGGCAAAGTTAACCAGCACAGTGAAGGGCCTATTTATAGCCTCAGCTGCTCCTCTCTCCAGCTTACCAGAGAGGGGGCAGGGTGGCTCCTCAGAGCAAAGGTGCTAGTTGGGACAAGGATCAACCCTCTGCTCAGGTGGTACTGCCCAGATCACTGAGCCCCTCACCATGGCAAAGGAGACTTTCCTTTCACTTCCTCCACGCTTCGTGCTCTCCGCCTACAGCAGGAGTGGCTAGAATGGGAGGACAGGAGGCGCGCTGCTGCCCAACAGTGCCGAAGCCACAGGTACCTCTCAAGTCCGCAGCCTCTACTCCTGAGGCCTCACCGCTCCTGTTGAGACCCAGCTGTCCACAACGCCTTGTTCTCTGGGGACCTGCAGCAGGCCCAAATTCTGTTCTGAGATGAAGAGGCGGCCAACATAATTGTGGAAACTGTGAACAACCAGCTGGCCTGGTCAGCGGAGCAGGGTAGGGTAGGGAGCATCAGTGAGGAGGGCAGAAGAGGGGAGAGAGGAGTGGGGTGGGGAAGGGGTCCTGGGATAGAGTCCAGGCCTTACTCCTTCTTGAAGACCCTAGTTAAGCCACCACCCCTCACCACTGCCTGGCCTAGCTCCTTCCTAAACAGTTGAGACAGTGGTTTGTATGTCTTTACAAAATTAAAAGTTACATTCTTTTATAGGACATATACAGATTTTATAAATTTTGTTTTTAGTTGACAAATAATTGTTGCACTATAGTAATTTTATAGGAATAATCACAGTGTAATGTGTTTTTTCATTTTTCTATAGTTTTATAGATTAGAATTTTTATGAAATCCACAAGCATTTTATTGTTATGTTTATTTACTTGTGTGTGTGGCAGGGCATGGTATGGGGGTTCAGAGGACATACTGTGAGAGTTGGTTCTCTTCTTCTACTCTGTGGGTTCTGGGAATTAAATTCAAGTCATTAGACTTGGTGGCAAGCACTTTTACCTGCTGAACCATCTCATGGGCCCAATTTTATTTTTTTGGTGATAGGATTGAACCTTAATTTGAGTGATGATAAGCATTATCTTTGCCACTGTGCTATCCATATCTGGCATACCTTTATTTTTAATTTTGAGACAGGGCCTTCCTAAGTTACCCAATCTGCCCTTCAACTTACTCTGTAGCCTAGGCAGGGTTTAAACTTGTGATTCTTCTGCCTCAGCCTCCTGAGTAACTGAGATTACAGGCCTGTTCCATCGGGTTTTGTTTAATTTTTTTTTCTTCTGTCTTTTTTGAGACCAATCTCCTATGTAGCCCAGGCTGGCCTGGAACTTGGGTTCCTCCTGCTTCATGCTCCTGAGCGCGGAGAATACAGTTTTGTGCCACCATATCTGGCCATATGCAGTTTTATAACTTGATTTTTTTTCTTTAAATCCACAAAATATTTGAAAGCAGTACATAGATGCACAAGATTTATGTAACTCCTCCCCAAATAGACTGGTAGATTGGGTTCCTTTCTCCTTTTAAAAAAAGTTTATTGAGCCGGGCATGGTGGCGCACGCCTTTAATCCCAGCACTTGGGAGGTAGAGGCAGGCGGATCTCTGTGAGTTCAAGGCTAGCCTGGTCTACATAGTGAGTTCCAGGACAGCTGTGGCTACAGGGAGACCCTGTCTCAAAAAAAGACCA